ACTTTCACTGTGTTGGAGTGCTTCTGTTCTGCAGAGCATAGCATGGTCTGCAAATGAGGTGTAGAAAGTGAAAAAAAGACAGACTGAAAACCAAGAGATGAATCACACCAAGTCAAGAATGAGTAAAGGAAGACACCTGAGAAAACCTCCTGTAATTAGAAGAGTGTGATTTGGTATCCGTTCACCAGTGTTCACTCATTTCACCTTAACAATGATGCCAGTTTTCAAAGACAATATAACCCAAAGCTGGTGCCAGTAAGACAGCTGATACATGAAATACCAAACCTCTCTGCAGCTGCTAACTGAGCTGTAGGTCAGCTTGCCAGAATTACCCAAATTAACCCCTGTGGTGAACTCTTTACTGGCACAGCCTACAGATCCTACATAGCCATGGAGCTGGCTCACAGCAGGACAGCACACATGGCAGAGAAGCTTGCAGCTCTACTTCCAGGCCTGTCCTTACACTGAGAGAACACAGCGAGGCTCTCCTGGACTCAGGCTGGTGTCACGGTGGGACTAGCACAACACTGGATCCAATTGTCTTTTTCAGATACTACCAACAGCACAAAGTCAGGTCAAGCTCCATGCGAGCAGTGAAGGCAATGTCATCTTTGTAACCCAGCTCATCTTCTTGGTCCAATTTGCTGTGCTATCACAGAGATATTGATGGCACAAGGGAGGGGCAGTGCTGGACAGAGCTAACAGCCAAAGCCAGTGTGAGATTGCTTTTTTCAGTGGCAATCACAGCTGACCGGTGAAACTAAGATATAAGAAACTGCAGTAACATGAAGACAGGAGAGGAACTGTGGTAATAAGTAGAGAAGGACAGGCCAAGAGACGGAAGAAAGTAAAAGGTATTGCTTTCAACATGAGAGGTGAGTGCAATGACATTTGTAGCACTGTTCTGCATAAATATGAGTGAAGATTATATTTTTGGAAGCTGGAGAAAAAGATATCACAGTAATCTTGATATGAAGTGACTAAGGTCAGGCTGAGATATATTGCTCTGGGTGTAAGAAAGGACATTACTTGAAAGAAGACACCCAGAAAATATCTGGAAAATTTAGACATTGCCTGAAATTGAGAACCTAGAGAAATAATAGTCTGACTTAAAAACAATGCCCAAATAAATGTGTGTGTGTGTGTTAGTATAGTAAGCTCAAAAAGGAAGAGAAGGGACTGAAGTAGAGAAGGTGACCATGCACCAGTAACTTAATTGGTCTGTGTGTGTGAAATTACCTGAAGTCAAGATGAAGAAGAATAGAAGTGACCAAAAGAAAAAAAGCCCTCCCAGAGGAAGCCAAAGGATGACACACTGATGAAGCAATTAAGAAGGAAAAGGAAACTGTAAGATGGAAAATGAAAGGCAGAAGGACTGCCATGTCTTTCAAAGATTGCTGACACGTTAGAGAAGACGGGAACTGCTCTGAGGATTAACTGAATCATGGTAGTCAGGAAATGGGACACACCACTCTGATGCAGGAGATATAGAAACCTCCTTGGAGGTTTGGAGGTTGGAGAGGGTTTAGATGGGTGTGTAAGAGTCCAAGTAATGAATTTAAAGATTCAGTTTACTGACCTCAGGGATGAAAGGCAAGAGGCAGATGGAGCAGATGGAGATGCTGGAGAGACAAATGAAGTCAGGAGTGGGATGGAAAGAATTAAAGCAGGAGGATGGAAAGAATGGTTTGTTATGCTTGCTCATGACCTTTGGAAATTTATATTATGGTTTCTAGCAGGGGTTAGTGTAAGGAATACTGCTTGCCACTGCCTTTGCCTGGCTCTGATTTGTGGTGTGACTGTAAAGCATCAAACACAAACATACTTCAGTTATTTTCTCTGTTTAGGTCTCTTCCCGTGGGCTATTTTGTTTGTCTTCTCCTCAAGGTTTGCCACTGGTGTGACAAACAGTGCTTTACAGAGGAGGAAGCTTTAGAAACACAGAAATTAAAGATGGAAAATTCCTCTGTAAAAGATCAGCTAGCCCACTGTGCTTGGTAGGCCAAGGGATAAACACTGTGTTGTGCTTATTTAAAATACCACAAGAAGTCTCCCACAGCAACTGCTCCACCATGCAGTGGATGTTACAGCCAAGCCATTGTGACAGTACTCATCCTAATCTTTTTCACTTGTTTCATCCTAGTTTCTCCCTCCTCACAATAAAAATGCTCTCACTTTTGTAAACCAAAATAGTTGTTCTCCCACAACTGCATTTATTTTTTTTTTGTAGTGTTGTGTCCTACACACCGTGTGCAGCTATATTTAGTTCTTTTAACTCACATAACAGGATCTCTAAATCAATCCTCATCACTTCTGCTTTTTAAAAAATAATTCATTTATGTTTACTGATGTCTTTTTGATGAGAAGATAGTGCATTCAGTTCTGATCATTCCAAAGAGTTTCCACAACATTACCAGTAACAGAGGCTTTTGTTACAGTTTCTGTTTTTGAACTCTACTATCCCATTGTTTTCTTGTTTCTGGTTTTTTTTTTCCTCCCATCATCTCAAATTATGGGCCTGTCTAATTTACTGTCTGCTTTCCTGTTATTTTAGGTCTCTCTCAGCATTACAGCTTCTGAGAATTCGTCCTCTCAATGAATATCTGTGAGCTGAGTTATTTTTTTGACAGATGTAGTAGTATCCCTTGTGGAACTACATTTTGTTTCCTGAATATCATTTGTGCCAGAGCTTTGACTTGTAAAATTAATAGAATAGTGTACCCTCAACCCCACAGCTTAGAGGTGTTTCCTTCCCTTCCCCTTCCACCCCCAAGCTTGAAATCATAAAAATGAACATTAAATAGCAACTAAAGAAAAAAATTTTTTTCCTCTTTGAAAGAGTTGTTTAAGCTTCATGGCAAGAGTGATACATGAACTTTTCTCACTACAGTTCCAAGAGAAAGATGAATTTGCTTCGTTAAATAATTTCCAATGTCACTGAGGATTACCAGATGTGTCCTCCCTGTATGAGATGTGATAGGAGGTTGCTGCTCCCAGCTTATCCCTATTTGTCTGCCCCATACTGCTTGCAAGAATCTGCAAGGCAACTTCAAATGTAGCTGTTGCCTAATCCTTTGTTGCCAAAATCATCCACTTTAGCTGAAGTCAGTTTTTTTTTTTTCCTCCTTTTTTTTTGGCCCCTCCTGCCCACCACACAACACATTGGACAGATGTAGTAAGTACCTGCTATTCTTGCAGATGGAAAGGGCAAGAGATGCTTGTGGATAGGATAAGAATAAAATGTAGGTTGGTGACTTCTTAGCCTGTTTTAGCTGCAACCCTCAGCTATTTGAAATTAGTGCCAGAATTGGTAATGCTCTTCAGAAATGATGACTCTCCTCACTGCCCTCCACAGACTACACTGTGGGTCTTTTCCTAGGACTTGTTTCTGGGAAGCACATGATGCTGAAGACCTGTTGGATCACACAGCCAAAGCAATTGTGGGTTCATCCCATCATCAAGTGCACTATAAGCAAACCAATAAAAGGTCACATCTGTTAGTCACAACTGTTGTGGTTAGGCTCCTATTGAACAGCAAGCTGTGTGAGAGCAGGGCATATATGCGCTCAGTCTTGCTATACAGCGTGCTACAGAGAGGATGTGTGGTGTTAAGGCAGAGTGGCAAAAACAAAATTAAGGCTGTAGCTATTTTCCACATAGCTGTTCATTACAGAAATGTCTGTGGCAACGTTTTTGATGCTGTCAGTTTGCCTGCTTTTCAGTTCTCTGAGATGATGCTGCAGGACAAGGCCATAGAAGAGCCCATTCCTCTCACAGAAAGCACACAGCAGTGCATCTGCACCACACATTGTCCTTGGGGCAGAGAACAGGCACCTGCGAATTAGCACTTGTCTGTGTAAGGCAAAGAGCTTTCTTTGAAAACTGTGTTCTTCTCTTCTTGCTCAAATCACAGCTAAAAGGGGAAAAGGAGCAATTCAAGGTAATTTTTCTCATCTGTGAACCTGAACACAAGTCTTTTCTCTTCAGTCCCTTTCACTGCTACCTTATTCCACTTGGGCAAGCTGTAGGGCAGGATTTACCTTATCTAACTTTGAAAATGTGTTTTGCATGGACTCAGATAGCTAAAGTTAAGTAAAATTAATCCCACCTAAGTCTTTTATCTCTTTCTGCTGGACTAATATTTCTAGTTGTTTTTTTGTCTGTCCTTGCCATATATTAAAATCTTCCCAGCACCTATGCTCCTCCATAACATAACATGAGGCCCTCATTCTCAGAGACAAAGACTATTTTCTTTCCACAGAATCCTCACTTCTTCCTAATGAGGAAATTAAAGAGGACCTCCCTTTTCCTTCTGGTGTGGTGGCAGGGGTCTTTTCAGCTCTTTCCTTCCACTTCTCCCACAAGCGAGAGCCCAGCCATACATCAGGATGGTCACAGTAAATCTGTGCTGTGGCTGTGATGTCCCTCAGGGGCAGTCCTGAAGCTAGAACCACAAGGGTATGACAACTACCTTTTCTTACAAAAACCTTGTGCAGGAATTTGTCCCACACCTGAAATGTCTTGTCAAATTTGGATTCATAAATATGTGAGTTAAAATTTGGGGAAAGATGCCAGCTTGTAGGATGGCATTTTGGTTTTTTTTTAAGAAAACCTGGGAATTTCCCTTAAATGGAGCAGGCCACCTGAACAAATATGTCAGGTCACCAGACTCTTCACCTAAAAATTCCTTAGGATTTTTGCTGGCCCATGGAGAACAGCTGAAGTACGGTAAGTCACATCCTTGCTTTGCAGCCGATCTACTCGCAGTGATGGTCACTTCGCAGCTATAACCATGAGTCACAGATTGGGATCACCACTCAAGCTCCACTTCAGCAATGCTGTCTCTGAAAAATAATTACTGTTGGCTTGAAAAGCAGGTGCAGAATGAGTGACAATATGCACGTTTAATTATTAGTAGATTAACCAATTTTATATTCTGGGTAGGTATCAACTCTCATCATGTGACACATGAGTCTGGGACGGGAAATATGTTTTTGTATGTATTCATACAGCTTGCAGTAAAGTCTTGTCTGCAATCCCTAGATAATGATTTTGTGTTCATAATAGTAAACCCTAACTAGTAGAAGCAATGGACAGCAGGTAAGGTTCACAGTAGCTCAGGGAGTCTTTGTTTTAAACATCTGGAGATAGAAAAAAGAGACATGAGAATACCTCTCCTACAAACACATATGGCAGCTGTTCTTATCTAAGCTTACTGCGGATATCAACACAACTTTAAAGTGTTAAAGGATCCCAGCATGAGCTAATAGATTTACATACTGGTTTTGGAGTAGCATCAGCTTTTTCCATTCTGAGACCAGATACAACTCAGTTGTAAAGTTACAATTTGAATTCTCTTAACAAGGAGTGCATCAGGTTACCAAGCTTTGCCAGTATGGTGTATAATTCACAAAAGGGTCTTAAACAGTTGGACAAAATTACACCCTTTTGCCAATTTGGTTTGTCTCCTTTAAGCTCTTAAAAGTCTCAAGTGTTTTCAATTAATGAGTAGCTCTCCGAAAGTCAGAGCAAGTATTTGACTTACATGTTCCATGCGACTGCTCCCTGATTGCAACTAATTGCGGCTTTTAATCTCTTTAAGGACCCCGAATTACACGTGGTTTTTTTCAGCAGTTTCCTGTCTGATACCTGCTGTAGGCTGTGACAGCAGAACAGAGCAAACTGCACGGCGCTGCGGCTGCCAGAGGAACCTTGAACCATGAGATCAAAATAAAATAAACCCTAACTTTAAACGGCACATCCCTTCCCCCGTGCTACACGACCCGTGGTTTTGGCTGGGTGCGCCCCGAGCCGGGCCAGCGAGAAGCCGGCGGAGGTCCAGCATCTCCCGGCCGAGCCGGCGGGACCCGGGGCCGGGAGCGTCCCGCGGGACCCGGGCCGGCCGCCCTTCCCCAGCAAGGGCCTCCCGAGCTCCTGCATCCTTTCCAGTGCCTTTCTTTCGCTTAAGGTCAGAAGACTTTAAACTTCCTGACTCCGACGGGACGGGAGGGGTACCCCCAGGCGGAGCGGGGTGGGAACCGGGGAAGGCAGGCGCTGCTGGCCCCGCTCCGCCCGGCCCGGCCCGGCCGGCTCTTGTCTCGGCGGGGAGGAGCCAGCCCGGGGCAGGCTGTAGCAGCAAGGGCTGGCCGGCCGCCAGGAAGTGTAAAATCCTGGCCGGTGGGTGGCAAATTTCGCCAGATCGCGGCGAGGAGGCAGAGCGTCCGTCCGTCCCTCCGTCCGTCCGTGCGGGCGCGGGGAGCGGCAGCCCAGCAGCCCGGCCCGGGTGAGTGCGAGCCGCGACCTCGGGCGCCGGCCCCGCTCGGCCCGGGGGCTCGGGCGGCCCGGGCCGGCCGCCCTGCCCGGGGGCAGCGGGCCGGCGGCGATGCCCTGGCGGAGCGAAGGGATGTTTACCGGGGGGGCGGCTGCGGAAGGGAGCGGGCTGGGCTGGCTCCCCGCGCTCCGCGGTGCCGCTGGAGCGTAGTGCAGGCATGAGACCTGGGTAAGTTCTCCATTTAAAAATATTAAAAATAGACCCTCCGGCTCCACAGCGCTGTCGAGTGAGTCATTTTCAAACCAAATGTCTTAGTCTAACCCTTCCCCCCAGGAGATGCAATAAGTCTGAAACCGGGGCTGAGGGAAAAAGATTCTTCTCCCGTCTCTCTCTAAATAAATTGAATTAGCACGTAGAGGAGACAAAAGCCATAAGAGTAGCCGGCCACCTGTTTAACAAAGTGAAGCGTCGCTCCATCCCTTTCTCTCTTCCCTTGTACCTTTCCCGTGCTGTCGCCGCCCATCTTTCCCCAACGTGCACTCGGAGCCTCTCTGCCCTAGGAATATTTACAGTGCTTTCCAATTTCGTGGGCATAATCTACTTTCCAGTTCCTTCCACTGCCAAACACATTCACTGCCACCGTCTTCTCCACGGGACATCAGCCACAGCCACACGTCATTCCAGCAGTCACCCCAGTCAGTGCAGCTCCTGGCTGAAAAGAGTAGTCCAAAGCACAGCTATTTTTTTCCGCCTTTTCCAGTCATATGATGATTTGTTCATGTAAGTGAGCTGTCTTGACTAGAGGGATGTTTCATTTGTCAAAAACAAGTGCTGAGCGTATTTATAGGCAATGCTGCAATTTTGTGGTGTGAAAGACCTTGGGTATGCAGAACTCGTTGGTACCTGGATCAGCATGCAAGACCTGTTTACATCTCGCATATAGTGCTCTCTGTGTGTGCATATTTCTTGTGTATACCCAAAGGTCGTATTTCATGGTGAGGCAGCATGCACAAAACAGAGGAGCTGATATGCAGGTCATGTTTTTCTTTTTCTTAAACCAATGCCACAGTCCAACTGTGCAGTAGCTTCTGACAGTATAGCTCTACATCAGAGGGGACAAGACACCGTGTTCTGCTAATGAAGTGACTTTCCTGAAAACCCCCTAGCTGCAAGTAAAATCCTATCCTCTTACCTCTCTGAAGAACTCTTTTAGAAAAAATTTTGAAAACAAAAAGTAGCCTATAGGTGAAAATCTGTGCAGTAAATTATGTCAGCTGTTTTACAGCCGTGACAAGGATGTTACATTTGAGAATGTGATCTGTGGTAGCAACCCAAAACTTAATGGCCTGTCTGTGTAGGTAAGTGGAGAATTGTGATGTAAAAGCACTGGCATTCTTTTTTTGCTGCATAGATTAAACTTCTCCTATTAAAGCTATGTATACTTTTTACAGCCAAGAGAGACCATTGTGATTGATGGACCTGTCACATAGGGTGAAGCGTGCTAAGAAATTCCTGCAGAAGGCTTTTCTTTTAGCTGTTACACAGAAGAGATTTATGAACTTAGGAGTGCTACCAAAGTACTGAACTTAAAAAATGAAAAGATTATTCTCTTGTGTTCCAAAACACAAGAAAAAGTAGACTTCAAATCCCAAGTAAATGCAAATTTCACAGCAATCTAAGACGAGGTATGCTCTTGATGCATAATTCGTTGGCATTCGCAGTGGCATTCTTGCTAAGATACAACATCTGAGGGAGCAAAGTTCTTGGGCTTGGGTCGAAAAACATATGCATTTTGATGAAGCTAGGAAGAAACTTTTCTAGTGGTGGATTATTCTTGGTTGTCTATGAGGAGGGTGTCCTAAATCTCTGGCTGAGGTAGCTGTCATGTCAGATATGGTGCGTTGCCCTGGGTTCTGCACAGATGGCACTGACGAGGGTGGGCAGGGAGTACAAGTGCACTCAGGCCCTTATTGGGAATCTTTTTTGATATGTCAGCTCAATAGTAATATCTCCTTTTGGCAGTTTTACAGCACAGTTAAGGTGACAGTTTCGCATTTGTCTTCCGCCTTCAAGATAAAATTCTTTGTAATAACTTCATGCAGTGTGTTTATGGGCTGTCTGATATCACCTGAAACTCTGATAAGACTTTCAACGTTCGCTTTCAAAGTTCAGCTGGAACACAGGTAGTGTTTACTGAGTCCTTACTCCCTTTTGGAAGAATTTCAATTCCTTAAATTTCCAGCAACCAAAGACAGAATAGGTGAGATATTTAACCTTTTCTTTGATGTAGCTTCCATTCTTATGAAAAGAGTGGATGAATGGGACTTGCATGTGTCAGCAAGGATTTAAAAGTAGCACACACATCAGTACTAGAATTTTATCCTTCTTATAACTCATATTCAGTGAGTTCAGTTTTCATGTGACTTTTTTAGGCGCCTGTAGTATTTGTGGATTTTTTTGCCCATAATGTATGGCCTTTTGTACTCATTGTTTCTGCTGATGTGAGTTCAAGCATAAATATACACTGACTAAAATATGTGCTGGGTTCCAGGGCTTATTCAGTAGGGCATAACAACCTGTTTTTACTGCACAAGATGAGTTTAAGTGCAGCTCAGAAGATGGACTGAGGATTTTAGCAAAGCCCCAGTTACACTACAGCTGGCTGAGGATGGGCTGTGATATATAAGCAGCTACTTAACTGCCACGTTTTGTAGCCTCAGGGTTAAAAATGTCAGGCATACTTAGGTTTTTCATAACAACAACAGGAATGTGAAAACAAAAAACAAACAAAAAGGAATAAGAATGAAGTGCAAGAAAGTAGACAAAGATAATAGATTGTCATTCTAGTTGCAGTAGAGATAGTTCTTAAAAATTTTGGTTGCTGACTTATTGTTTGATTTTGATAAAGTATATCTTGCATGCTTCTGATTAACATTCCTAGAAAATTAAACATGTCATTACATTTAAACTGATAATGACCTTTTTGCTTCTCAAATGACATTTTTCTCTCATTCCATGATTTTGCCTGGCATACAATCATAGAAACATAAAATGTTTTAGATTAGGAGGGACCTTAAAGATCATCTAGTTCCAAGCATGAGCAAGGACACCTTCCAGAAGACCAGGTTGCTCAGAGCCCTATGCAACCTGGCCTTGAACAATTCCAGCTTCTCTAGGCAACCTGTTCAGTGTTTCATCACCCTCACAGTACAAAGTTTCTTCCTAATGTCTAATCTAAAGCTATTTTCTTTAAAGCCATTCCCCCTTCACCTATCACTGCATGCCCTTGAACACAGTTCCTCTCCAGCTCTCTTGTAAGGCCCCCTTTAAGTTCTGAAAGGTGCTCTAGGTTTCCCTGGAGCCGTCTCTTCCCCAGGCTGAACACCCCCAACTCTCCCACCCTGGTCCGCTCCTCTAATCCTCTTCATGGCCCTCCTCTGGACTCCTTCCAACAGGTCCACGTCCTTATTGTGTTGGGGGCTCCAGAGCTGGATGCAGCACTCCAGGTGAGGTCTCAGGAGAACAGAGTGGAGAGGGAGAATCACCTGCTGGCCATGCTGCTTTGGGTGCAGCCCAGGATATGGTTGTCTTTCTGGGCTGCAACTGCATATTGCTGGGTCATGTCAAGCTTCTCGTTCACCAGCACCCCAAGTCCTTCTCCTCAGGGCTGCTCTCAATCCATTCTTGGCCCAGCCTGTATGTGTACCTGGGATTGCTTGGACCCAGGTGCAGAACTCTGCACTTTGCCTTGTTCAGGCCCTCAAACCTGTCTAGGTCCCACTGGATGGCATCCCTTCCCTGCAGTGTGTTGATATCACCACAGAGCTTGGTGTCATCAGTGAACTTGTGGAGGATGTGCTCAGTGCCACTGTCCTTGTCACTGACAAAGGTGTTAAACAGTGCCTATCCCAGAGCTGACACTGCTCTCCACTTGGATAAGGAGCCATCCACTGCAACTCCTAGAGTGTGACCACCTTTAAGAAAGCATCCTGTGGCTTGTCTGTTCCTCTCTTGTGAATTTCCTTAGGAATTTGTTTGTGAATTTCACCACATTTGACCAAGGAAGGAATGGTCTAAAAGGTCAAGTGGTCTAAATGGTCAAATTTTCTCTGAGATTTGTGAAAATATTTTAGAGCCCATGCTAAAGGAATGGCTCTTTGTGGGTGTTATCACTTCCCCAAGGGTGAAATTCAGAAGGGGGAGCAATGCTATGTTAGTTTCTGGTTTTGAAAACATATTTGTCAATTCAGTTCAAAGACCTTTTCTACAGAAAGAGTTTGATAGCTTACTCATACTTATGTCATTCAAGTGATACATTCTTGGGCTGTTTTTCTTCAGTCGGGGTGCATTTACTAGGGCATCTGTTGAATGCAGGAATACTGCCAGTGGAAGGAAACAACTGTAAGAAGTCAGTAATAACTCATGTGTTTAATTTTCCTTGTTTTCATGTGTGTTCCCATGTAGTTGTATTTCTTGAAAATCACCTGCTAATCAAGTGAGTTTAAGACTGGTAGGAAGAGCATGAGGGGGCCTGAGATGCTTGGAGTACTGCTTTGCTATTAAATCAGCTGTGGTTTTTGGAGTGTTAACAGCTTGAGTAAAGCCTTGCTGTAGAACTGGAGACAAAGCAGTGGTGATTTTATGTCTGCCATGTGTTGGTGGGTGAAACTCAAAAGACGGTTGCAGGTAAGTTTGGTGCTGTGGGTTACGATAGCACTGCAGTGATCCATTTTGAAAGGATGGTTGCTCCAGCTGTTAGAGATACAACTTTATGGAATGCCTAAAATACCCTAAAGCTTTCAGTTGATCAGAAAATGGTGATAGATATTATCTTTCCCCGTTCTTATCCATTCCCCCGCTCTATTGAATTGGTTTCTTATTGTACCAAAGAGGTAAGTGTATTTTTTCATTCTCAAACCACTCCAACAGTTTTAGTTTTCTGAGCCTGTGTGACATTTTTGCTTCTTGCCTTTCATAGCTAGGTTTTGGTGTGGTAATTGCTTATTCAGAAG